CAAAGTGGCATTGCCCCACCTTACTCTGGAAGTGACAAGAGGCCATAAGAACTGGTGGTCCCAGTTTGCATGATAATCACTTTCCTCCCAAAGTTCAATTGTAGTGCTAGATGCTAAAACAATAATCATCAGAGGTATACGTTGTTTACTATATCATGATTACTTATAATAAGGAGAATTAGTACATCATCTATCATATTCTCTACTACTGACTTAATCTATGTAAACGACAAATAGTAAATAGATCTGCACATACCTTGCATGTGGCAATAGTGGCACTGCAGATTTAGTCTACCTCTATATTTTAAATATTAGATATCACACTTGTATGAGGACTTAATATATTTGTGTTTTGGTGCCTTTTTAAAGGTTGTGTGTTTCTTTAGAATATGGCTATATCTTAAAATATTTTCTCAGTATCTGTCACCGTTCTTGACACTTTATGCATGCTTAATAATTGCTCTTTGGGTAGAATTGTTTTTAGTCTAAACAAGTGAAGGCTTTGATATCCTTGTTTCAGCACTTGTTGTAATATGTGACACAGGGACATATGAAAATTTATTTATCTTGGGCCAGCCATGGTGGCTCACACCTGTAATCCCAGCACTTTGGGTGGCCAAGGTGGGCAGATCACCTGAGGTCAGGAGTTTGAGACCAGCCTGGTCAACATGGTGAAACCTCATCCTTACTAAATATACAAAATTAGCTGGGCATGGTGGTGCATGCCTGTAATCCCAGCTACTTGGGAGGCTGAGGCAGAAGAATCACTTAAACCTGGGATGCGGAGGTTGCAGTGAGCCAAGATCACACCACTGTACCCCAGCCTGGTTGACAAGACTGAAACTCCGTCTCAAAAAAAAAAAAAAAAAAATTATTCATTTTGGTGTTTAGTATATCCTTAGCCTTAATGAAACTACAAAAGTGGCAAAGAACAAACAAAAAAAATCAGAGCAATTATTATTTAAGATTCCAATGAAACAACATTAAAATACGGATAGTTCACATTTGTTGTTTATGGAGAACTCTTTTCAGGAGATAAAAATATATCTCAAAATCAAATTATATCGTCATCCAGGCAAGTGGTTACTATGTCACTAAACTAGAAAAAAAAAGGCAGTAAAATTACCTAAAAGCTGTTGGAGAAAAACAAATATTTAATGCATTCAACATTCATTAAATTAGAGCTTTAAATACCAAGTTTAAATTTGAATGCGCTGTGGGTCACTCTCTTTACTTAACTGTCATATGATTCTAGGAAGGCTACATGCCCAGAACAGTACAGGACAATGTGTGATATTAGTTTGATTTTCCGGCCACCAGAGAAATCTACCAGCTGTCACCACAGAACCATAAAGTTCATAAAAATCAAGTGTCTTAAACACACACACACCACATACACACACACACACACACACACACGTTTCTCAAACACTGAAAAGTTTAATCTATTTGACTGACTCTCCAAGTCTGTGAAAATGTCAATCCTCTTATTTTTCTAGTTCTCAAAGTGGAGAGGAGGCCGTGACAGTTAGGGCTAGAACTGGAATAACAGAGCCCCCAACTGTGAAGTTCTCCGGGCCCCAAACTATCAGTAGCATAAAACATGACCAAGGTACTTAAATATTACTGTAAGTGTTTCTGTACAAGAAAAAAAAACGGATTCAGCAGAACTCTTTTCAGGAAAAGAACTTCATGAATTGAAAATCGTGTCGATAACCTGATCGGGTATACAATGAGACACCAAGGAAAGTTCAAACAGCAATTGATTGATTGCAAACCAACCAAAAATGATGGGAGCCATTTACAACAGTTTTGGTTTTGCTGAGTGAGGATACACAAGATTATAGTTAGGGGTGAATTACTGTAGATACCTCTTGGTGTTTCGTCACTCAGTAAGCAACCACTCTAGAGAGTTTATTTAGAAATAAAGTTGAAATAAGTATTTAAATACTTATTTAATACTGTACTGGTATACTGGTTTGAAAAGGCACTAAATTTTCACAAATTAAGATGGAGGTATTCTTTTTGGGTTTTTTTTTTTCTTTTTTCTTTTTTTTTTTGGACAGAGTCTCACTCTGTCACTAAGCTGGAGCACAGTGGCACGATCTAGCTCACTGCAACCTCTGCCTCCCAGGTTCAAGCCATTCCCCTGCCTCAGGTGCATGTTACCACGCCCAGATAATTTTTTGTATTTTAGTAGAGACAGGGTTTCACCATGTTGACCAGGATGTTATCGATCTCCTGACCTCGTGATCTGCCTGCTTCTGCCTCCCAAAGTACTGGAATTATAGGCATGAGCCACTGCACCAGGCCCTATGGGGGTACTGTTAAGTTCTTTTGTTCTGTCTCATTCTTTCCATCAAGATATTTGCCTTTTCTTGTCTTAGGAGTCCTTTGGCAGAACATAGACCACGCTCTCCTTGTAATGAGAGAATAGAGATTAGGGCCTTTCCAATGTCTTTTCTGAACTCCCTCATTGGCTCCTATGATTCCATGCTTTAAATGCTCCTCAGGTAAAGGTCGAAATGATGCCTCACGTACGCTAAAAACCCTTCATGCTTCTGTAAGTTCACCAAAGCTTGTGGTAGACATGGGATGCTTTGTTGTTGTTGTTGTTTGTTTTGTTTTTGAGTCGGGGTCTTGCTCTTTCACCCAGGCTGGAGTGTAGTGGTGCGATCTCGGCTCACTGTAACCTCCACCTCCCAGGTTCAAGCAATTCTTCTGCCTCAGCCTCCAGTGTAGCTGCAACTACAGGCACGCGCCACTATGCCCAGCTAATTTTTGTATTTTTACTAGAGATGGGGTTTCACCATATTGGCCAGGCTGGTCTCAAACTCCTGACTTTGTGATCTGCCTTCATCAGCCTCCCAAAGTGCTGGGATTACAGGTGTGAGCCACCCGGCTGGGATGCTTTGTTTTAAAAGAAAAGTTACATTCCAACCTTGATGGCATCTTCCCTCCTTATGAAAAGAACCTGGATACTGTTGAATTAAACAAATGATATTATTTTCTTTAGTTGAAAATGAAAGACCCATGAGGTAAATATAAGCCTGCAATAGTTTATGTAGCTGACTGGGGAACTTTGGAACACAAATTAGGCTATGCATATGTAATATTTCTAAAACTCTAAGAGTCAGCATTTATGATCCTAGAAATGTTAAGCATAGGTTTTGATAGGCCACAACTATGCAATGGATGCCACTAAAATATTCCTGTCTTTTAAGCACTTCCTAACAGAATTCCTTTGACTCTGAACCTTTAGACATTTATTATTAGAGGCGTGTTTTTCTCTCTTGGAAGTTACTTTTTCTTCCCGGTTTGCAGCACTTTAATAAAGCGAAGTGATTCACTCTACAGAAGCACTGAAGCAGAGAAAAGCCTCATGGAGCCATACTGAGGGAATGAAAACATATCTCGTTAATTCAGCCTTCCCCTTTTGTCCTCTTCCTATCGATCAAAGAAAATTATTTTAAAAATCATTCATTTGGAAACATACATATACAAGGAGTTTGAAATCTGTGTGTGTGTGTGTTTTATTTTTGCATATACAAAACAAAACCCTCTAGAAAGCTACTGAAGCTTTCTGACATCATCAAGTTCTTTTCTGTGAGTCATTAAGTTGCTGAAGCCTAGAAAATCAAATTTAGTTTAGGGCTGCTTGATAATGTAGTAAAACAGTAAATTGTGATTCACCAATTAGTTCGGGTAATTAGAAAATCAAAAACAAGCTCTGAGTGGGTGGTGGACACACCTAAGTAAAGTCCATTATCATTGTCATTCTATATGTTCACTGATTATAATTGTAATAACACCTTTAGGTGATGATACTACATTCAAATATTTTTGTGACAGAGAATCTACAAGTATCTGTGTTTATAAATTACACAAGTAAATTAAATACTTAGTTCAGTCACTCATTCGTTCACTATCTTTTCCTTCATTATTTTCTTTCCAGGCTCTGTGTTAGGTCTATCTGGGCCTTGCTTGCATAGAACTCTCATTCCCTGGTACTGTGTGTAAATTCTTCAAAGATAGAAAAGTAAATGTAAGTTAGAATCCTACAAAGAGGATGACTTTGTAGTTAAAATGTTGTCCTTCTGGCTGCTTCCTAAATTCCAATGATGTTGTCAGGACACGTATCAGAAATAAGAAACAACCAGTTTGAGAATTTTCTTGCTTAGAGGTTTTGCCTGGTTGAGAAGAATTATGTGATAGATAAAAATGAGAAAGGAATAGTTTTTTTATTTTAAACCAACGTTTCATACGACCTCTGTGCACATTTGTGGAGATCTAAGGTGTCTGGCTGTATTTAAAATGTATTTCTCTCCGTAAATTCAAATCAATACAAGGATTGGTTGGATGGTTGAAACAATTTGTCACTAAGCACTTCAAAATGTGTCTTACTTTGCTCTTTTCTTACTGCTACTGAGGTACATAGGTATGGTTATATGGTCCAGGGTTTTCCAATAAAGATAATAAAAGGATGATAGGGATGAATTACCTGAGCTTGAGCCACTAAAGAAAAGGTATTTCTCGGATGATGCAGTCATTTTCATGCTATTTTACTGTTCAAAAATGGAACAATGTTGTTCTACCATTATCAGTGATTTTTAAGCTCATATTTTAGTGTTCAAACATAACATTTTTAAAAAAACGAGAAAATTATTTTCCTCGTAATTGTATCATTACCCCTAGATGATTTGTTCTTTGTAAGCTCACAATATGTATTTTGTATTATTACACCTCACTACAAAAAATAATCACCGAATTCTAAGGGAAGCAATAATCTTTGATTATTTTTTGTAGCATCTCAGTCATATATTTTAGAATAGCTTGGATTATATTTCACTTGAATGAAAATGCACAATCAGAAATATCAAGAAAATGTGGTTATTTATAGTTAGAATGAAAATTTAACTCCCAAGCATTATTTAAAATGCAGCTGTCTCCTCCTCAACATATATTTAATAGTTCTCTTCTTATTTTTTCCCTATTTATAGGTCAATGGAACAGAAATTGAATATGAATTTGAAGAAATTACACTGGAGAGGGTAAGAAAAAATTTTTAAAATCCAGAGCCCCAATCTTGCATTCACATTCTGTTCTACATCTTAATGAGTTGTCTTGTGAAATTATACAATTGTGTTTTATAACCTGGAAGTTTCCCACAGGACTCACAATGAGAATATTAATGAAATGCTCACAGTAGAAAGCATTGAGACAGCAGACCAAATAACAGAATGTTCAGTATGTAAATTTCATTGCCAGGATTTGGAGAAATGAATGGGAAAGAGAAATGTTTGATGAGCTTGTACAGCACTTTGTTCGTAATGGTTTTATTATTAGTGTTTTGGCTATACATTTCAGATATGTTACAAGACATTTTCATTTGTGTGATATCGATACTATCATCATAACTATAGTTACCATGCGTTTCTTATTTAGTTAAAAAAAAGTGGTGCATTTTAAAACTACTCCCACAGGAAAAAACACAACAACCCCATAGAGCTCTGCAAATACACTGGTAGGACCCTGGCAAAGTCCTTTGACAAATTAAGGAAACTCTGCAACGCGATCCTAATATATTTAGATATCTTGCAGAATGATAAGAGAAAGGCCAAAGACCATGTAGAAAAAAGTGACCAAAAAGCATTAACAGGACATTCATTAAAAAAGAAAAAACCAATAAACAAATGAAAACTGTTCAACCTCATTAAGAACAAAGGAAGACAATGAGAGCAAACAGGTTTTGCCTGTCCAATTGGCAAAAACTTAAAAGGAATGTGAATATTCAATGCTAGTGAGAGGTTCTGAAAATTAGTACAACCCTGCAAGAGCAATTTGGAAACATAGATTAAAAGCCTTTAAAATGAGTACATTTTTTGACCCAGAAATTGTACTTACAGGAATGGACAAATGCACAAAGAATGTGCATATTGACATGATTTATAATAGTAAGGTTTGAAAAACATAGATGTTAAATAATAAAAAAGGATAACATGTTTATTATATATTCATATAATAGAAATTATATTGAAATATATTGAAATAGTACTTTAGAAAATATTTAATTACAAGGATAGAAGATCTACCTAGATTATATTATTAAATCAAAAATTGAGTTTTAAAATGATATTTAAAATATAATTCAATAAACACAGAGCTATGGAATATAATATATACATAAATACACTCATAAAGCCTGGAAGGATGTACACCAAATGTTATGCATTTTGGTGACTAACTCCTGTTAAGGATTTTGGGGTAATTTTTAGTTTCTCCTTGCTTATATTTATAAATAAACCTACTATGATAAACACATACCACATTTAGTATAAGAAATAAAAATGTAAATATTTTCACTAAGCTATCATTCAAACATAAATTAAGATTCTAGACCTGCATTTTTTATCCTTTTTATCTCCTTTTTAGTTTACTAATTATTCACTTTCCTGAGTCAGAGCATTTCTCATCTTCAGGCTGATTTTTATCAAGTGCGAGTGCTTTTAAACAAACATTTACATTGAAACTTAAGTGTTTGACAGATGGGTTCTTTAAAACTTCCATTATAAACTTGATAAAATTTTAATGGTATCCTAACTGGAGAACAGTGAGGCTTATGGAAAATCAGCTCAAATGAGACAAAAAACCCCATACATTTCTTCTAAATCATTAAGTTTCTCTCCAAGACAAGCTGTATGATTTATGGAATGCAGTACAACATGAAAATGTGGGGCCTTTCCAAACACAGGACTCAATGCAACTGAACAGGTCTCATGCCCGGGAAGATGAGCCTTCTCCTTTTTCCTCATCCGATGTACATCACCATCTTGAATAGAACACTGTTTCATTGCCCTGGTATTAGAGGTTAAAAAGTAAAAGCTAACATTGGTATGAGAGAGAACATTCAGTAGGAGTCAGACAGCTGTGGGTTCTAGTCTGGATTCTGATCTTACTTGTTTGCTGATCTTAGACTTGTCAGTTTACCTTGCTGACTTACTGCCTTGGGGTACGTGACCATACTCTGAACTTTGTTACTGCCATTAACAGCCCCCTCTCCAAAGCCTCTATCAGGCAATATCTTTCTGAACACTTCCTCCCTTCTGTTCATATCATTTATTCTAGTACCTTCTCATTGAAACTTCTTTAGCCCCATTGGAACCTCAGATCATTGACTTCACCATTTCTGCCTAGCTTTCACCTTTCTTTATGCCCTCTCCTCCCTCACCACCTAGCATGTATTACCTGGTCCCTCACTCTAATTCTCCCTCTCATGCATATTTTTTTTCTCTTCTCTAGCTTTCTGTGCTCATCCAGCAAAACGCCAGTCCAGGCCGGGCGCGGTGGTTCACGCCTGTAATCCCTGCACTTTGGGAGGCCGAGGCGGGCGGATCACTAGGTCAGGAGATCGAGACCATCCTGGCTAACACGGTGAAACCCCGTCTCTACTAAAATACAAAAAAAAAAAAAAAAACTAGCTGGGCGCGGTGGCGGGCGCCTGTAGTCCCAGCTACTGGGGAGGCTGAGGCAGGAGAATGGCGCGAACCTGGGAGGCGGAGCTTGCAGTGAGCCGAGATGGTGCCACTGCACTCCAGCCTGGGCGACAGAGTGAAGACTCCGCCTCAAAAAAAAAAAAAAAAAAAAAAAAAAACGCCAGTCCAGGTTAGCTTACCCTGGTTAAGCCAACACTTTCCTCTTCACTCCATGCCACTGCCTCAGCAACTGGATATGGCTAGAGAAACACTCACTCATCTCACTTTAAATTTTTAACCACTGATTTTAAGTGAACTCTCAAGACTTCCTAGCAATTCTTACACACTTCTTTAGAAAAAATCACTTTCTCATACTCTGGGACAACAATTTCACACCTTATCATATCTCCTCAAATCTCAAGCACTCCCTTCTCTCATCCTCTCTTTCAGCTGTTGACCTGCCTTAATATATTTTTGAGAAAATCCAAGTAATCAAATGAAAGCCACACTTTCCTACCACCAGGTCTGCTAGTATATTCTCCCATGGCAGTGAAGGAAATTTCCTACTGCATTCTAAGACCAACTTTTTACTTGTTACCTAGACTCCATTACCACTTACCTGTTGAATGATTTTTCTTCTGCAGTTACCTCCTCTCTCTTCTACAATATCAAGCCCTATCTTGCTTTTTACTGAATAACTGTAACACAGACACAGTATAATATCTTTCACCTTAGAAAAAATAAGTAACCATCCACTAAACCTATGTTTTCCTTCCACTATTACCTCATTATTCTATTTTGCTTTACCAAAAATCTCGGAAAATTGTTTATTTTCATTAGCTCCCCTTTATTACCTCATTTTCTTATTTTAACCTGTTTCATGTTCTCATCCCCACAATAGTCATAAATCCATTTATATCAAAGTCATAACTGGTTCCATCTTGCTAAATTGAAGCATCAGTTCTCAGACCTAACTGACTTCTTAGCAGGATTTGATGCTTCCCCCTTCCTTAAAGATGTCAATATTTTAACTTCCAGGACAAAACACTCCCCTGTTCTTTTACCCCCTCAGTGGCTGCCCTTTCTCAGCCTCCTTGCTGACTCCTCCTCTAAAGGTTTCAGCACTCCAGATACCCAGTGTACAGACCTCTTCTCCATCTTTTCTTCATTCCCTAGATGGCCTCATCCAGACTCATGCCCTTAGATACCAGCTGTCAACTGATGACTCCTAATTCTGAAGCCATGACATCTCCCTAAATGTGAACTTCGAATGTGTATGGCTAACTGTACAGTTGGCATCTCTGCTGCTTGATTATTAAGAAAGCCCCTTCCCTGCAGTCCCTCTTCTCAGGGCCAAAGTAACTGCTACCCTAATATCCTTCATCTTGACTAATTGGTTCTATCATTTCCCATGTTATTTATGCCAGAAAAATAATCTAAAAGTCTTGCTCAATTATTCTTGATCCTCAGAATTCATGAGTAAGTCCTGCTTGTGCTACCATAAAGATATATTACAAAATCAGTCAAATCTTACCACCTGCCCTGCTGAATCCTAATTCAAACCAATTTCATTCCACGCCTCAACCACCATAATAGCTTCCACTTTTGCCCTGCTGTTATCCTCCAAGTAACCCGAGTTATCTTTTTTCAAAATATTAATATAAGCCAGATCATACAATTTATATTCTTAAGACACTCCAAAGGTGATAATTAGTTTCATTATCATTACATACAAGACATTCTGTAATGTGACACCTGCTCCTCTCTCCAATATTATGTGCTCACCACCAACTCTTCATAAATTTCACTCTAGCCACAATGACCTTGACATTTCTCAAAAAAGTCAAGCTTTTCCTAACTCAAGGCCTGTATGTATGTTATTCTAGCTGCCTGGAAAATTGTCCTTTATATCTTTGCATAGTTTATTCTTTTTATTATTTAAACATCTGCTCAAATATCATCACCTCAGAAAAATCTTCCCTGTTCACTGTAATTAAATTAGTACCATTTCCATCATTCTTTTTTCCCATTTTATTATTACTTAATTGCACTCACCAGTATCTGAATTTTATATTATTTATTTATAGTCAATTTTGTTAACATCTATCCCTTCCTGTAAATATATGCAGTACATAAAGTCATTTTATATACAAGTTTTCTAGAACAGCATCTGAAATTTACTATATACTCAGGGAGTGCTTGGCATCTAAATGAAGTAGGCCTTGCTCTATTACTGGAAGGACAGTAACATAGACGCACATGGACTGATTTGAATTCAGGTTTGAATTCTGGCTGTAGCACTTTCTAGTCAAGTAACCTTGAACTACATACTTAACTTCTCTGTACCTCAGTTGCCACATCTGAAAATGAGGCTAAACTGTTTATAATTACCCCATAGGGGCGTTGTGAGGAATGCAAGAGTTAATGTAAAGATTTAGAGCAGCATATATAGTTACTTCTAATATTTTCTTTGGCTAACATGGTAGTTCTCACAAGAATTATTTATAAATATAATTGAGGAAGTTATTAAAGATATAGCATTCCACTCTCAGCGAACAACTTAATGTAACAAGAACTTC